GCTGAAAAAGAAAGTAAAAAGTAGTATTCAGAATGCTATTATTCAAATATTATCTTTTTCTTACCTTGTCAAAAGTGTCAGTTGAGCGTGTGCTGTAATATAATGAAGACAAATACCAGACCTGTTGGTCCAGCTGTTACATATGGCACCCTGCACACCAGGAATCGCTGCTGTATTCCAGAAATGAGTATGAGCAGAGCACTGAGTGACTCCTAAGCACAGTGTGGACTGAGACATCATGGCTTTCACCTTGGAAATTCCCCCTACATAAACCTGATCACTCAGCAAGCACTGTGACCCCAGAGATCTCAGCACAATTTCTTTGACTTAATTAAATCTCAACAGAGGAATAGCCTGGACAAAACCTAACGGCTACAAAGTGCTCAGCCAATTGATGTTCAGAGGCTTCAAAAAACTGTGATTTATTTTAAAGAAAGGAATTACTGCTGGTTTTGATAAGCTGGAGCAAATTGGCCAAGAAAGCAGATAAAAAGAGAAGTACAAGCAAATATTTCATCTCTTGTTTAAAAGTTGAACATCTACTTCTTCCAAACTGACTGAAGAGATGATGGGGGAGAAGAAGAAAATCAACTTCCTTATGAACGTCACAGCCACAGACATGCCAACACAAATGTATCTTGGCAGACACGAGCTCTTACACCGCCCAGAGAAATGGCTACTTTCACAACACACAACACTCAACAGCGATCACTTATTTTCTAATAGGTGCTTATTATTTGGCTGACAAAAAACTGAACATGAGCTGACAATGTGCACTCACAGCCCAGAAAAACAACTGCATCCTGGGCTGCATCAAAAGAAGCGTGACCAGCAGGCTGAAGGAGGTGATCCTGCCCCTCTACTCTGCTCTCGTGAGACCCCACTTGGAGTATTGTGGACAGTTCTGGTGTCCTCAACATAAAAAGGGCATGGAGCTGTTGGAGGAAGTCCAGAGGAGGGCCACGAGGATGATAAGGGCACTGGAGCACCTCCCGTATGAAGACAGGCTGAGAAAGTTGGGGCGATAAAACAAGGGGTGATGGGTTTAAACTAAAACAGGGGAAGTTTAGATTAGATATAAGGAAGAAGTTCTTTACAGTGAGGGTGGTGAGGCACTGGAATGGGTTGCCCAAGGAAGCTGTGAATGCTCCAACCCTGGAGGTGTTCAAGGCCAGGTTGGACAGAGCCTTGGGCGACATAGTTTAGTGTGTGATGTCCCTGCCCATGACAGGGGGGTTGGAACTGGATGATCTTAAGGTCCTTTCCAACCCTAACTATTCTATGATTCTAAGAGATTTAATAAAGGGGCATCGCAACCAACTTTGTCATGGCAGCTTTACAGCTGGCGTAATGGGAGCAGCAGGGAATCCACTGCAGCCCACAAACTTCAAATCTTAAAGAAGTTTTGTAAATTATTCTAAGAATTTCCATTTAAACGAACAAGACACTACAAAATCCACCTACTACTTCCATCTACGTAAGTTTTAAAGAAAAAGGAATTCCATCTCATTATTTTTATGCAAAACCCTACTCGTCTGCCAGAAAACCAATGGATTCTCTAAGCTCCCACAGGCACACCACACACACCAAAAACGACAGTTGGCACTGGAGATGAAGACAAACCAAAGCCATTTTTTCATTACAGACACGTCTTGGTCTGAGTCCAACCTGCACAGGCAGGTACAAACCCCCTGAAGACACTACTACAGCGTCAGGACTAGATACTCGTATCAATTTGTCTTGCCAAAACTAAATGTAAAAACAGGATTTCAGGCCTGCACTCTCCATTTAGCAGTGCTTACCTTTACTGTATCTCTTGAAAACTATATATGCTGTGTAGTTATCTTTAAGCCAAAATAATTACAATGTCTTACCATGGGAGTTCCAAATGATTTCTAATGTTTGCAGTAATAATATTTACCCTGTGCTGTAAAGTATCCACAAAGATACAGTAAGGGTGATGAAAGGTTCAATTTCACAGCACAATTAATTACTGTTTAACTTATCTTCACAAAGATCACCGCAGGGCTTGTAAATGTAAGTGGTTTATATTTCAAAAAAAAAAAAAATAAATCCAACCCCCAACATAGCATGCTAGAATTTAGATGAATTTGATTTGCCAGAGCCCACCTGCCTTGTGTTTCTGGGTATGATCTGACTTTAAATTAATGATCCTTTAAAGGAAGCATCTGGAGCACATTTCACTGACGACACATAGCACATCACTCAAAAAGCATTAAAGCAATTTTATGCAAATAGCTATTTAAAGAAAATAATTTCAGGCTGATCCCTCTCAAAGCAAGGCTGAGTTACTCAAAAAATACCAAGTGACGATCAGGAATCAACCCTCCACTAACGGTACCTAATATAGCCACAGATTAGCGTGTTATTAAGAACTTCCTAACATGACTGATGTCCTGCCTTATAAAAACACAAAACCTCAGAGGTTTTGTGCTCATTCATTTGTTTCCTCCACATGGATGAAACATATGCAAGTAAAGCAGAACAAAAGTTTGCAAGTGCAAGGGAAAGTATCATCGAGGCTGTTCAAACTGCATTTAGGGAAGTTGATTGTAATTGAAAAAACTCTCCATTCAGAGCTACCAATCTGCTATTTACTCCTTGGTTTTATGTTTTCTTTTAAGAAAAAAAAATAATAAAAATGCTCAGTTCTTCTCCTTTATATACACCAACCTGACTCTCAGTGAACAACATGAAAAACACATACTGGAAGAAAATAACCTTACTTACGTATCTGTGCTTAAGTATCAGATTTTATATAAATAACATTTCTCGGGTTTTGATAATCAATATTAAAAGAAATCGGATAAAAACTTGATCAGTTCTTTACTACCTAATGGGGAAAAAAATTCTGATTATAAGTATTTTGATTTTTCAGACAGAAAAGCCTGATTGATTACATGACATTCTTAACAGAATGCCTGAGCTACTACATAATAAAAAATCTGGGGAAATAAATCATCCGTTCAGGTCCTTTGCCCACACTATGCAAGATGGTATCTTAAAGCTTCTGTATCCTTACGAAGAGCCATGGGGCATCCAGGACAAGCACTGTAAAGCGTTGTTTTGCTGTGTGACTCCTGAGGAGGCCGAAGTCCTGTCTCCACAAACCTTGCTGCTCTCTTTCTTAAGGTCACATTTCCCCAGTGACAGGCTAAACAATTTGCAAGCTAGTAAAGTTTCACCAGAACACAGCTTTTATAATGGTCACAGGGTAGAAACTATGCTCCCCAAAACATGAGACAGCTGGTTTTGCAACATACAGACAGCCATCCTCCAGCACCATTAAGTGAGAACTCTGCAAATACGGGCAGAAAAGAACAAAAGCTCAAAGCAAAGGAGAAAACGCTAGCACCGCCCTCGACAAGAAAACCCTCTTCACTCCCTACTTCAAACGCTTAAACCAAAGCAATGAGTCTGACGTAGCGACGTCTGAAAGCCGAGCTTTTGCCTGGAGGTGGTGCAGCTGCAGCCCTTCCAGCTGCTGGAGAACCTGGAAGGACCAGCGCTTCCAGACGTTCTCTGCTAGCAGTTTTTGCCTTCCAGGGAAACTCAGCAGGAGCAACCCAAGGGCAAGAACTGCTCCTTTCAGGGATATACTTTCATTTGCTTCCAAGATCGCAGCTTGCTGGACCTACATGGCAAGAGTCTGAGATTATGTTGACAGAGAAAACTGACCAACTTGAAAACAAATGTAAGAAAATGCACGCTGAGCACATGCGTTAGTAATTTCAGATACATTTCTCACGCTCTGCTATAGCTAGGTAGTCACCCAGTACTGGCATGCTCAACAGGAGAAAGATGGCATATTCTTGTATTCACTAAAGTCTAATAATTACAACAACCAATGGATAGTCTGATTTAAAGATTTTTTTTTTAATACACATTTATAACGTTGCATGTATAGAATTTATTTTTTTTTTTAAATACCAGTAGAAATAACTTGGAAATAAATGACTGTTCCTGGCTGCTTGTTTTCTCCGTATGGCTTAGTACCAATAGGAATGAGAGGGATTTCTGCAGGATCCTGGGTTATGACGATCTAATACAACATTACTTTGAAAACTATTGTAAGTAACTCTTAACAACGCCTGTTCTCACTTCAGAATGCCCAAGACATTTTAATTTTCCGTTCACGGCAACTTTCCACAAGCACATAGTAATTAAGGGGCAACACCCCAAAAGGCAGAGTTTATAAGAGAAAAACCGCTGCCCCCTGGTGAAGCCATGCAAAAGTAGGAAGCCATTTAATCGTTAGATGTTAAAAAGAGAGAACACTCGACAGACCA